AGATGAACTGGAGAGGTTGTGCCCTATCTAAATTTCCAAAAATTGAAAAACAACATTCTGTGCAATGGACAACACGTGTAAGCTAAGTTCAGCCCCCAGGCCTCTTGTTCATGACCTGTGCTTAAAAGGTATACTCTCTCTTTGGTTAGTGAATATACCAAACCCTGCCCTTGGTATGTCTTTTGAGTTTTCTCACTGTGTGTTAGATACTAAAAGCTTCACCAACTCATGGTGCAGGGTGAACACTAGACCCTGAACTGCAGGGTCCCACCGAGGCACTACTGGCATAAGGCCCACCTTGAGCCAGCCTCCTTTTTCGACCTTTATCTTAAATCTGAACATCTGCTATTGTCTGAGAATAGCCCCTGCCTCTTTGCCTTCCCTTGTAAGCTTTCTAGCTTGTTTCCAGCTCTGTTGTGTCTTTTTGGAAGAGCAGCCTGGTGCTGTCTGGGGACATGAGCTGCATGGGGGCCCAAGGAGATAAGGATGCTGGCTACAACACTACAACTGGTCCAGAGGTCTGGACCAGTTGGGAACAGAAAACAACTCCCTTTGCATGAAAGTTGACCCTTGAATATAGGTGTGACCACCTGGATGGTGGGACCATATCTTTTCTGAGGGTTGGACGTGATCTGGGCCACATCAGGTCTGCGATTTTTGCTCCCAGCCCAGACTTACACTGGACTGCCCTATTGGATGGCTTCATTGAACCAGAGAACAAAGAGGGGGAGCAGCCCTGAGCACAGTTGCCAAGGCAACTTCCTTCCCTCAGGAGCCTGGCAACGGTGGCAGACCACTTCACCAGAGCTTTTCCTCACCCACAGCCCCTTGTTGTCTCCATGAGCAGTTGAAATCAAATCCTTGAGGCAAAGCCCTTGAATACGCTTTACCTCACTATATATATGGCTGAGGTTCCCAACTCAGTGTGCCAGGTTTCTGCAAGACACTGTGTCCTGCATATCTATTCAGGGCTCTCAGAAGTTTATGAGAATCAGATTCCATGTGTGTGGGCCCCATACTTGTGTGGTCAGGAAAACATGCTCATGAACTGGGCTTAGTGTCTGAATAAAGGCATCATTGCTAAAATGAAAACCAGAGGGGGAGACAGAAAACAATTTGAACAGAAGTTGTTTATTTTAAGAAGACACAAACAGCTCTAGCTATATAAAGAATACAATTCAATTGCTGGTAGCAAGCCAGTAAGAAATGGTTTTGTTTAAAAAAAAAGGAAAAAAAGAAAGAAAGAAAGAAAGAAAGAAAGAAAGAAAGAAAGAAAGAAAGAAAGAAAGAAAGAAAGAAAGAAAGAAAGAAGGACTAGAAAAACCCTTTGTAATATCACGCCACAGAGGGCTTCCTTCCATTTTGTGTTGGAATTATAGAAAGACTGGGATTCCAATCCTTCTTGGTTTCCGTTGCTTCTTGAAATTTTTTTCCATGGACACATTCTCATCACTGAAGGGGTTACCTTATTTCTGCCTTCCAGTTTAGGATATTGGTTTATAAATTCCAGTCTCCCTCATTTTCCTTAGGTACATTGTTGGCACTCAGAACTGAACCATAGTGCTAACTTCACAAAATTTCATCTCCTGACTATGCATAATAGGACTAGTCAATCCTCCTTCCTCATTTTGCTTTTGGCAAGTGTGGCACTTCTGCTGCCTTAGCGTCAAAGGCACAAGCCTGGCTCCCTTCCTAAGCCTGGGAATCCTAAACAAAAGGCAGAAAGAAACTGTTTCACGGATGCTTTCAAATCAGAAAATCCTGAAAGTAATTTATGTCTCTGACTTTCTAAAACTTAGATTTCAGTGAGTGGGTAGATCTCTGGGCTCAAATGACAAAGGGTCAGTTAAAGATCCTAAGAAGTAATTTGCGTAGAAAAATCTGAAGCCTGAGAGGTATGTCTGAGTGACCGAGTCCTTAATGAATGAAAGTCATAGCTCTTTGTGTGTTGGCCTGTTCAGAACTGCCACAGAAGAGTTTCTTCAAATGGCTTCTTGGGAGAAGCCAGCACAAGCCAATGGAAAAGATGAAAAAAGGGAAATGCCTCAGGAGCCCCAATAATCCCCTTCTCCTTGACCAGCCCCATCAGACCTGGATCTAGACCAGAGAACTGCTGTGAGCAGTGGATGGGGCATATGTGCACATGTGTGTGTGTGTGTGTGTGTGAGATACATACATTAGGGAATGGGGACTTCACAGTCCAGCTGGAGAAACTACGCTTGCACACAGGCATACACCTTGTCATTCACTCATATCTCCTCTTGTTTATATGAGCAAATATTAATATGTGACTCTGAGCTTTAGACCTCCAAGTAATAGCATTAGAGATAGAGATGGAGCAAGATGGAGAAAGATGTGAAAGAGCTTTAAGAAATCCTTTTAGAGGTGCAGGAAACAGGAAATGGTAGTGTGTTGAATACCTGCTGATTTGGTGCTGCCCAGGGCATCCCAAGGAGCCCATGCCTGGGGGCAGGGACCCAGGAGGCAGGAGATTTTGGCAAGAAAAGCTGAAGACACAAAATACCTTCTATAACTCATTGTTTTTCTTGCTGGGGCTGAGTCTAGAACAGGTCCAAATCACATTAGAAAATGGGCATGTGGACATTCACAGTCATTGGAACCAAGAGAGCTGGGGATTTTCCTAGGGAATTGTATATTAGACTGGAGTCTCAGGGCCTGAGCTACCAGACTCTCCAGGGACAGCCCTAAACTTGTGATGGGAGTATGAGGTAGAGTGAAAGATGAACCACAGTTTGGGGGTAAGGATGGGACAAAAGAAATAAGAAAGCTCAGAAATCCATGCTTCCCTGCTAACTTCCCTTAAACTTGTAGAAGCAGAGGCACATTGGCTAACCTGGATAAGAGAGCTAGAGAAAACAATGAGGGTTCCTACACTGAGATAGTCAGTGAAAATGATAGATAGCTAGATAGGTAGATAGATAGATAGATAGATAGATAGATAGATAGATAGATAGATCATAAAGGGTATCCTATTGAAGAGTAATGGTTGGCATAAGCAGCTGTTCTCCACCCACCTCTGTGAAGAGTTATCTGACAATGCAGGACATGGGAAGTCAGTGAGCCATATTATGCAGTACACAAACCAGTAATTACATAGGACAGGTCACAGAAATGCCAGTCTCAGAGGACAGTCTGGACCAAGGCTCAGCAAACTATGACAAGTGGGCTAAATCCAGCCTGTGGCTTTTATGGCCCAAGAGCTAATCATTGTATTTACATTTTTAAGGTGTAAAAACACCTTTTAAAAGGTCAAACACCAAAAAAGAATTTTCTACTGAGGCCATATGTGGCTTACAAAGCTTAAAATAGTTACTATCTGGCCCTTTACAAAAATAATTTATCAACCCCTGATCTAATGATGAGGAAAATACCACCACCCTCTGAGCATTCCTGAAAAGGGAAACCAAAAAGATCCAGGAGAATAAAAGGGAACAATGGAAATGATTGGAAATACCATTCCATATGACTAAGATAGCCCCTAAAGGGCCACTGCCTGCAATTCCAGAGAATAATGAGGTATGCATGAACTATGGAGGGAAACCCAAGAATAGCTAAAGAGAGAGTTAGACTAATCAGCACTAGGCAAAGAATGTTCTGGAAAAGAGACTGCATGCAGAACTTAGTATGGTTAGAGAATTCTGTTATTGTTTGATAAGATGAAGATAGAATTTGAGCCCAGGGATTGGTAAAATATCAAGCTAGTTGAAGTTTCTAGGACACAACTAAGTATCTCATGAGCATGTAACAGTCTGAAAATCTCATAAAATTTAAGTGAAAGATAAAGTAGATTCTAGGAAAGCCTATATTGGCTTGCTCTACTTTAAATAAACACCAATTACAAAAGTTCACACTAGAAGAAGTAGAGGCTTTTAGGAGACAGTGACAAGAGAATTCTTTGTTTTTCAAAAGAAATCACCAAAAGATTCCCTTACATAGAAAGCTTCTCTCCTAAAACTGGAATTTGATGCAAAAAATTCATTTTTCAAATAACTTTTAAAGAAAACATCCATTGTACAAAGTAGAACACATATATTGAATTTGGAGGAAAATTAATGTTTCTAAACTGAAAATCAGATTTGTCTTTGAATTTATGAACTAAAGAACTCTTGATCACTATTCATATATATATATATATATGAAATATCCGAGAAACACATGTGTCACAAAAGCAGAAGCCAGCTGTAAGTCTTCTATAAATGTAGTGCTTTAAAATGAAAAAACACTGAACCCAAAGGCAGGAGACCTGAGATTGAGGCCGGGATCTGCCACTGTGTGACCTTGAGTGAGTTATTTAACCTTCCTGGGCCTCAGTTCCTCATCTTTAAAATGAGAAGTTGGTCCCTTTGAGCTCTAGTATTCCATGACTACAGATAAATATAGAAATAAGATAAATACAACAATCTAGAAATAAGAAATATTCCCCAAAGTAAGATTTGGAGCCAGTAGAAAAAAGTAGCAATGAAATATAATAAAAAGAATAAAATTTTAACTACTAGCCAGAGTAAATATATCTCATTTAAAAATTAATGAAAGATTTGCAATTTACAATTGATCAGGAGAGATAAGAACATACACATTGATATTTTTTCACCATCATACATACAGAGGAGGAAATGAGTTTGGGGTGACTTGTACAATGAGCACAATGCTGTGTTTGCATGCATAACATTCTATAAAATTGGACATTAGAAAAGCTCAACACCACATAAGGAATAAATTTCTATAAAGCTTGGCATTAAAGAGAGGCTAAAAGGAGTTAACTGGTTGTTCCAGTTCATATTTTGTTTGGGGATTAGGTGATATCAAATTCTGCTATTTAGGCAAAATTTTAAAATCTAATATACTTCTGCCAGAGCCCTTCTAGAGAACAGCAAGTAGCTGATTCAGATTGATGATTTCTTAACACCACACAACAACATGACAATATATATCACGTAGCCAGAGACTGATCACTGTAATGATAGCAGTGATGGGAAATGATGGGAGGGTTGGAATCATTTAGAGAGTTGTGACTGTAGTTATCCAGGAGCTTGAAGAAGTAACATCACTAGAAGAGACACACGTGCATGTGCACGTGCCCACATGTACCCCCCCACCCCCACATACATTCCAGGGCTGCTGCTGCTGCTAGTCCTGGTACCATACTTTGAGAGGCACTGGTTTAGATTTGGGGCTTCACTGAACAAAATATATACCTATTTCACGCAACCCATTATCTATGCAAACTCCTTTTTGCTAAACATATTAAAAATGTCTCAGATGCGTGTCTATAGTCATTTACTATTGTATTCCTCTGTAAATCTGTTTTCAAGTCTTCTAAAACTTTTTCAAATTAATGTCACTGTTTAAATAATTATAACTTTTGCTGCCCTCTGACAAAGGCAGCTGTTTGTACCTCTTTCCCTCTCTCTTGTCCGTTTAAATCCCTTATTACTTTTAGCTGAAATACATACAAAGGGTTTTGGGGAGAATCTTGTCTCATTCTCACACCAAGCTGAAGTGATAGCACAAAACATAGATGGCGTGGAGCAGAGGCTCATGTTCAGTAAACTTGTATCTCCAGTAAGTTTAATAGTCACCACCGATACTGGACTGACATTGATTGGACAATATTGGACACTTTCACCTTTCACAAACAGGACATATCTTCACAAACTCTTCAAATCCTTTTGTTTCTACTCAAATTATAAATATCATTAATTCCATTTGTGTAAAAATGTTAACGTACAATTATCTAGGCCTTTTGAGTGGCTATTAGTAGCATTTCTGAGAGTCCCTTGGTTGTAGCCGTATTGAGCAATACCGGATATCAGGACAATTAAATCGACTATCAGTAATTTATTACAATAATTCCAGGAGATTAATGTATTTGTCATATTCTGGAGTTAGCTGTCAGGGAATTTGGCCTTTCCATGGTGAAAAAAAAAAAAAAAAACACTTCTGCAACTAATTGATGCCTAAAATTCTACAAGTAGAATTTCATTCCTTTGGCATAAGGTTTTTTCCCCTGTTAAACTGCAAACAACCTTCAAAAGAGGTAGCATTGAGCCTTATAATCTCAAAGTAAAGGAATTTATCCCTTTCCTGAGAGCACACTTTTCTTAGCTAGGAAGAGAACAAACTAGGAGGCACTCAGAAGAGTTGGTGCTGTGAAGAAGGTCTGGGAAGAATGGAGCAGAAACAGGAGACCAACGATCCCAATGACCAGACCTCCAACTCATTCAGTATTTTGCTGATGGGCTATCCTGCTGGCATCCCTTACTAAAATGGATACTAACTTGCCACTTGGAGCAGGTTACTTAGAAAGCAACCATGTTTTCTGATAATAATGAAGATTCTTTGATGGACATAGGCATACAAAACTTTAGAGTAGTGGAAAAACAGATGGCAACAAAAACATCTGGTGCAACAACAGGCGGGGAGTTAACCCCCAAATCAGAAGAACCATAGTTGCTCTTAGGAAGAAGATAAACTGATAGTACTTTATGGAGTGCAAATCACAGAGCCAGGACAAGGGTAAGGCACTTGCACAGCCCTGAGAGTGGGCGCCTTCTTAAATTTTGCACCCCACACACCTCACTTACCTCACTCCAGGCCTGGCCCTGGCAAATCATATTAAATTGAAAGCTCACCATTGTGTTACACACTTGGTGCTGCTGAAAGGCTGCACTGGTGAGGAAAAGAGCACTGACCATGAGCTCATCTTTTTAGGGAAGAGTGCATTTATGAGGAAGAAGGCAGGCGCGTGGACAGATCTGCTCAGACTGATAGGTATAGTGGAATCGTGATCCAAACCATGTTGTCTAGAGTTAAAATGGATGTCTGGTAACATGCTTGTTGAATCTACTCTGTCTTTACACATTCAGGGTGATGTTTCCAGATCAATTGGTCAGTCTGTGGTCATTAAGCTAACATGAATTAATTTGCTGCCTTGCTCTTGCCTCCTTCAAGGGTGAGCTGTCAACTACAGCTGCAGTTCACAGGGATTGTGGCTAAGGGGCAAGTTGGGGCCAGGTGGAAGTCTCAGGAGAGAGACTGAGGCAGGCAAAGGAGAGGAGACACCAGCAAAGCTTCTTGTTATGCTGGGAATGACTTGCTCTCTAGCCTCAGCATCTGTACCACAAATATGTAATGAATACCCACCAAGAGCAAAGCACTCTTAACTACTCATTAACCTCTCCTAGGGATGACTTCCTGCACTCCTGACTGGACTGCCTGCTCCTATTGGTTAGAATCAGAGGAAACAAAGAAACAGAACTTGAATGGAAGCTGACCTCCTGGGGCCAACTTCATGTCACTTGCACCTCTTCTGTATTCCACCTTCAGAAATTGTTATCGTTATTACTTATAATAGTAATAGTGGCAGTAGTAGGTTCTCTGAAAGCATTTTTGGAGGGGCTCTCAGCCTCTCTTCTCCAGTCTCAGCAGAGTAGGTGCAGAAGGCAGCAAATACTGTGGTTTGTGCCTGGGTGGGAGAAAGAGTTGGTGTTATGATAATCAAGGGGAGGAGAGAGGTTGAGTGTTACGAGTAGGAAAGATGTTCACTGTTATGTTCATTGATGGTTGGTAGAAATCAAACAGTTTGGTTGTTGTTTGTTGGGAACTAGGTCCACCTCTTGCAAAACATTAAATGAATATTTCTAGTCCTCCATGTTACCTCTAGCCACACAATCTCTGCCTGAAATTCTCATGTGCTAATGGGAACACCACTGGCCATTTGAGGGTCACAGTGATGATGTAGAAGATGTTTTCAAAATTCCAGGCATACAGAGTGTTGTAGAGGAAAGTAAGACTCAAGGTAATTGAAAAATATACAGGTATCTGGGTATTCAGCTTAGAATCTTTTGGGGAAACCATCAGAGGTAGCAAGGTGAGGGGAGAGGCAAACCCCACTAGAAGTAGCAAACAAGAAGCTTCCAGTAAAATCAGCAGAAGTAATAAGTCCTATACTGTGTGAGTCTCATACTTAGCTTTAGAGTTCAGCTATTATTAATGGTTCCCAAGGAGAATGACCTGGCTGTCTTTTACCTCTGTTAGGCAAAAGCACAAACTCTCCTTCATTTTCCTACTGAGCAAGATGTTTATGTCTTTTGGAATTCTGAGTCTGGGACAGACAAGTGTGGCATTCATATATAAATTAAGGCCAGAAATGACTTTTTTATTTCAGGTAAAACCCCTGAAATTAGGTCAGGTCTTTTAAACCAAATAATTTGAATACCTTAAAAAACACCTGGAATTTTGCCGTTTATTATTTTAAGTGGCTTCTGTCTAAACCAGGGGAAAGTGCTGATTGCAAGGGAGTAGGTGGGGCTGGCCTGTACTCAGAAGTCTAGAATTCAGAACTGTACCAACCAAGGGCCTAGGCCTAGGGCTTCTGTGTGAGAGGTTTAAATCTTCTCAGCACTCAGTGTAGTTTTTTAGGTGCTCTGTCCCCTGGAGTGTGGGCAGTTGTGTTAAGAGCTTGCTTCTCATTGGTGAGTAACACGGACTATCAAAATCAAGATCTGTTTGTCTCTGGGGCAGTTTCTGCTTTTTCCAGGAGGCTGACCAATGAATCTATTGGGTGGAGGGGGGTGAAGGCGGAAGGGGTTGGGGAACCCTCTTTGTGGAACAGTCTACAATTGCACGTGGCTTCTTTTTCCCTAAGAGATGGTGGACAGTTACCCCTCCATTACTGGTCAGCCAGTTTTCTTTATCCAATGCTTTGTTCCTCCCTGCCCCCAGAAACCAGACATATGAAAATCCAATGAATCACTGCTCTTGCTTTGCTTAGGAAGTTGAACTGACAAGAACAGTTAGTGCCTATAAGCTTTGAGGTGGGGCAGGAGGGATACCAATGATTGTTCTGAGGCTCCATCAGCAATCCATTTACCAGTTCTTACCCTCTGTCCCCACATGGTTAACAGAAAGTTGGTCAAACAGTGTAAGCTAAATGGCAAAAAGTACACCATTTTGGGGGTGTGTTATGGGCCACAGCAATTTGCAAGGCTGCCTTTTAGCTTCTGGATATATCCTTTTAGTCTATACATTCTCAGTTTTAGACCATCGTAAGACTTCCTTTAAACAAAACAAAACCAACCACAAACCACACTTACTTTCTCTCCTCCTTGAGACTTTCATGATGTTGTTCCTTTAGCTAATTACTTCCTGTAATGAATGTTATATGCAAATGATATGAGAGTTCTTCGAATGCAGCATAAGCTGGGCACAGATCCTACCTATCAATGTTGTCAGACACTTGAAGGATCTGAAGGCGCTAGTGCAAGTCCCCTTGGCGAGATCAGAGTGAACAAATGACTGCCTTGTTTTTTGGCCAAGCTTGGTTCATCCAAAGCAACTTGATCCTGACCTTTTCAAGCTAAGGGGTTGTGGGAAGGATCTCTATGTTGTTGAAACTCATCACCCTGATCACCGTGTAGACAATCAAACTGCAAAAGGCATGAAGTTTCAGGACAGAGTAACATTCATATTTTTCACAAAAGCCATACAATCAACCCCATGCCGAAATAAGTGCACACCTGCAAACCTCTAGAAGGAGAGAGCTACACCATGGTTGAAGAGGCATCAGAGTCTTTCTGTTTTTCCACAAAGTCATCAAGGCCTCACCAGGAAAATGTATCATCAGCAGTGGCTCCCCAGGTCCCTAGGTTTGGCAGCCCTCAGTCTGCTCTCACACTGTGCTCCTCAGTGACAGGAGCCATGGATAGAGCAGCTGGTCATTGTTTTAAAAGATGGCACATGTGTCCTTGTATCTGAGAATTTCTTCTTAGTGCATACCACTGGCGGGAAATAAGGAGAAGATCCATAGTCAGTAATGGCAAGATGTTAAGTATGAAACCGTAAAATGTCCGAACATGATTAAAGTGCCTGATGACTTTAGTTCTAGATAAAGTGGTCTCTCTCCTACTGTCCAAAATGTGAATTAAAGTAAAAGAAGTGTAGGCTCTTTTGATTTGTTCATGGTTTCTTTTTAAAAACTTTTCTCTTCCCCCTTTTCTACTCAAGTTTAGTACCCTACTTGATCACTCAAGGCTTAGGTACTGGGGCTATCGGTGGTGTCGTAGTCTTTCGAAAATTGTGCGATAATTCTCCGAGCCAGTGGATTAGTGGTCTTCAGCAGTTCGGCTGCTGAGGGCCGGGACCTTGGAGTTGCCTTACTTCCCTTCTTCTGTAGCAAGGCCTTGAAATCATCATTTCTGCCAGCATCTAGGCTGGCACTGCCGCTTGACCCTGCAGAGGCAGCTGACTCACTAATTGGAGAATCAGCTGTGTTCCTTATTGGTGAGTAGGAGCTCGGTCTGCTGCCTCCAGCAAAGGCTTCCCCAGGCTCCTTCCAGCCAAGAAGCTTTCTTTTGGACCTACGTAAGAGAAAGTTTGCTTTGAGTGAATTCATGGGGCAGTCATTTCCTAAGGCTTCATATAAGTTCATGTATGCCAGTGATGTGATCTGGGAACTTCCATGCAGCAGCCTTGCAAGCAGTTGCACTCCCCAACTTTCTCTTGCTCCAAGTCCTTGGGCTCCCTTGTCTGGTCCCTCTCCCCATACTCCTTTCAGTGCCTGCAGCTGGAGTCATGGGCCTGCGCCTGTAGGCTCAGTCCTGCCCAGCTCTTAGGACTGAAGAAGAATTTAAGGAGTCAAGCTCAGTGACTGATCAAGACAGCCTGGGAACTGACCTTCCTCAAAACTGGTGCTCTAGCTCCAATAACTGGGTGATTTCCAGTTTCCTCCTCACTGAGCCCCTGCTTTGTGCCCCTGTCCAATAACTGGGTCCCCATCTGGTTCCCCCTTCACCTTAAGTTCCTGCTCTGATACTCGGCCTGGTGCCTCACTTGACTTCTTGATAAGATTTTTTTGTACAAAGAATTCTGTAAAGGGTTAAATGTCTCCAACTGTAGACAAAGCTGTGAGAAAGCAGATGGAGCCACAATAGGCTGAGCAGTTGCTAGGAGACGAGGGGCCTCTCACTTGGCACCTGGTCCTTCCTTCCCCACCCCTCCTCCACTTCACCCAGAGATGTCAGTGAATTGGTGACGTGAGGCCCTGTACTGCTTTCACATATGTAGGTATCTGAACTTGTCTCCAGTTTCTATTCTAATGGCTGCTTAGAGAGAAAAGTTTGTCTTTTGGTATAGAAAGGGAAGGCAATTACAATAGGAATTAAGGTAATTGGTCCAGACCTGTGTATCACAGTAAATAAATCTTCAGTTGTGCGTGAAGCCACAAACACATCATCATCATCTTCTGCAATCCATTCAGCTGTTTTATCACTGATAACACTTTTCTCTTCAGTGCTGGGTTCCATGGAACTCCCTAGGTATAAGAACCAGAAGGAGTTACTTTGACTACAAGAGTAGGGACAAAGCACATTCTCATCTGTATTTCATCTGATGTTCAAAGCAACTCTGGAAGAGCAGCAGGGTGGAGATTCTTAATGTCTCCACTCTGCAAAGGAACATGATGTTCAGAAGGTTAGCGATTTGATCAAGGTGGACTGAGTGCTGAAGATCAGCCTGGGTCCCTGCTCTCTCATGCCTCTTCTGTTACAATGGGCTGCTTGAGCATTCTCTTGTTTTAAATGGGTCCTTTTTAAAAATCAAAGAGCCAAGAGAAATCTACAGCAGTGACTCAACCAGTGGGTAGGAGAGGTACCTACCTGAATTTCAGAGTGAGTCTGAGGGGTTTGAGAAAGAAATTCTAAAATTATCTCTGACTTTGCTTTGTTTGAATGTACTAGTCACAATGATCTAATTTATACTGAAAGTCCAAATCAGCTTAAGGAAGGCCATAAGATTTTAATGTTTGGCCCTGGCTAGTGTGGCTCAGTGGACTGAGTGCTGGCCTGCAAACCAAAGGGTCACTGGTTTGATTCCCACTCAGGGCACATGCCTGGGTTGCAGGCCAGGTCCCCAGTAGGGGGCATGTGAGAGGTAACCACAAACTGATGTTTTTCTCCCTCTCTTTCTCCCTCCCTTCCCTTCTCTACAAATAAATAAATAAAATAACAACAACAAAAAAAAGATTTTGACGCTTGGTGTGGAGAGTTCAAAAAAGGAAGAGAAACATGGACAAACCTGGAAAACATTATGCTTAGTGAAGCAAGCCAGCCACAGAAAGACAAATACTGTATGATTCCACTTACATGAAGTCCCGAGAGGAGTCAGATTCAAAGACAGAAAGCAGAATGGTGGTTGCTAGGGCTGAGGGGAGGGGGTAATGGGGAGTTAATGTTTAATGGGTGCAGACTTCAGTTTTGCAAGATGAAAAGAGTTCTGGAGATGAATGGTGGTGATGGATATATTAGAGTGTGAGTATACTTAGCACTACTGAACTGTACATGTAAAACTGGTTAACGTGGTACAGTTTATGTTATGTGTATTTTGCCACAATGAAAACAAAAAGAGACAAGGAAGAAACCCCAAAAGGATGAGAAATATTATCTAACTTAGTCTTACTGTTCCAGAAAGAGCTAACCATCTAAGAAAGTGAGCTCCTTTTCCTGTCGAAAGCCTGCTGCTGGCAATGCATTCCATTGCTTCAGAAGCCTGCAAGCCCACCATGTCACTTGAACTCAGCCTGGGAGGGTGCCCAGTCTTATGCATGAAACTAAACTCAGTGTGGCTAGTGCAAAGTACTGTACAGTAAAGGAGAGAGAGAGAGAGAGAGAGAGAGAGAGAGAGAGAGAGAGAGAGAGATCGTTCCTAGGGCAGAGGAAACATGCCTGACTAGGTAGATGGGCTCCTAAGGTCCTAGGATGCTAAGACCTAGTTTCATTTCATTACCTTGGCACTGGGAGTTTCAGGGTAGACTGGCTCAAACTGAGCCTTGGAGATCTGTCCCTGGGTCAGTTCCAATCCCAAGGGCAGTGAGGCCTATTTAGAGTAACCCAAACCCTCAAGATATGTCCTTACTGACTTGGTCATCCTGGGGCCATGATCATGGGGCACTGGCTTCTGTCTCTGGCACTCCATTCTCAGCCTCATCTCTCCTGGGATTGAAAGGAAAAGCCAGCAGATAGTTTACTAACCCAGAGGGCTTGCCTCCCTTTCACTGTCAGCGTGTGGTATTGAAGTGGTCCTTGTATCAGGTGATTGCAGGTGGTCGCTGGTTGGGGGACACTTGGCATCTTCCTCCAGGGTGATGATGGGGCTGACAGGTAGCCTAGGTTCAGCTCCGCAGGCCTCCATGTGAGCTGTAGGTGAGGTTAGAGGCAGGTAGAGAATGCTGGGCTTTTTTGGTACAGGAGGCGGAATCTTGCCTTTTTTCTTCTCAGCTTGTTCTTGGCTCTGGAAGCTAATTCTTTCAGGCAGAGCTCTTGTCTTGGGGCCCTCATCCTCTGTGCTTCCCTGGGGAGGTTGCTGTGTTCCTGAGCAGAAGGCACCAGAGGAACTGGCAAAAGGTGTGAAAACAACAGATGATGATGCTGTTGACTCCCCTGGGCTTCTGGCCTCAGGGAAGCTGAAAGACTTTGGTTTCTGTACCACCGTGTAGATGTCTGGAGGGAGTGACCTCATGTGTTGAACTGAGCTCTTAGGGGTCATAGCCAATGTAGGTGAAGTGAGAGGGTGCTCCTCAGGGACAGATGGTGGCTTATGGACCAAGCTTGGAGGCCTTCGGGCCAGTGGGGGTTTCTCAGCTATGGGAGGTTTCATCTTTCTCTCTGGCAAGGTGAAGACTTCTCCTCCCGATTCCTCAGCATAGTCAGGGCTCTCGATGTCATCTTCTGGCTCAGATTTGCTGACTGACCTCAGGCGAACAGAACGTAGGTCAGACTGAGTAACCATGGGCATGATTGGCTGATTGGGACTAGTTTTCTGGAGCAGCTTGGCCCCAAAATTTGTATCTGAGTGATGCCGGCTCACCTTGGTTTTGCTTCGGATAGAGATACTCATCCCAGACAAATCCAGGTAGGTAGACGAGGTCAATGGCAGGTCAAATGATAGTCGTGACTTGGAAATTTTTTCCATTGGTGATGTTGGGGGTAGTGATGACTTCCTCTCAGGTACCACTGGACGCACTCGACCACTGCCACTCGGAGGGGGCAAGTGGCCCAATGTCAAGGACATGGAGACAGTGGGTGTTGGTGTCTCTGACTGACTGGAGTATCCACTGGAGGGTGACATCAGCCCAGTGGGTCTCCCTGGGGAGGGTACCTCCCTGGCCTCTACCTCAATGGAGAGTTGTGAAGGTGTTGTAGCTCTGGAGGTGGAAGGGGAGGCAAGAGACTCTGAGCTGCCCTGAACTGGAGTACACTCAATGACTGTGGTGCCAGTGGCAGTGCTGGAGCTGGACAAGGACTGGTAGGTGTCACCAGATTTCCAGTCAGTAAGATACCAATGGTGGGAGAATTGTGTACCTTCTGGGTCTTTGAAGGTAGGCACAGCTGGGTGACTCTGGGATGAGTGATGTCCTTGGTGTTCCAAGGAGAGGCAAAGGCTTCTGGGCCTCTGATCCTTGGGTAGTGCGGACCCACCTTCTGGCTCATCTTTGACCAGCGAGACACTGCGCATTGGTGGGGAAGGCTTCTTTTTGGCCTTCTTGAGTGAGATACTCTTGGATCTCTGCCTTCTATGCTGGGCCTCCTGTTGGGAACTAAGGGAGGCAATGTTGTCAGCACTGTTACTGCCCTCGGAACTTGTACTGGCATATGGCAGGGCACAGGCTTCAGTGGACTTTTGCTCCTCATTGTAGTCCACATCTGTGGTGCCTGAGTCTGTGGGCACAGACAGTGACCGCTCCCGGAACCTGCTGGCCCCACCTGGGCCTGTCTCCAGTCTTGAGGTACCACCACCAGTTAGAAGGCCAATCTTGAAGGGTCGCTCTGATATCTGCCTTCGTTGCATAGGGTGTTCAGAATAGCCAGCTGATCCACTGCATCCTGCTGGATTATCACGAATGACAAAGACACTGGCAGCCTCCTTAGGAACCAGAGGTGGCAGTGTGTGTACAGAAACCCATGCATTCCCAGAGGAAGGATGTTTTCCATTTTCATTGACTTGATTGCTCTGACTAGTGGCACTCGGAGTCATATAGGTAAAAGCATCTCCCTTCCAGGAAGCAGAGAATGTAGATTCTGTTGGTCCATTGCAAGAACTGGGGACACTATATACCATTCCCATGCTTTCCATGCCAGGAGGCTTGGTGCCACCATGCACCTGGAGAGGTTCTTCCAGATCACTAGAAGGATTTCTCAGTGCTGGTGAGCTGAGATTTGGGAAGCGAACTTCCTGACTGACTGCAACTCTTCCATGAACACCTTCTGGAACAGAATGACTGTGCTTGATGTCTGAGCTGGTTGAGCGAGCCACCCTGCCTGTGGGGCTGTTGCTGTGACCTGGAGGAGGGAAACACAGAACATTAGTGGTGCAACCAGGGATCCCCCAGCAGCTCCTGTGATGGCAGCACCAAGTTTTTGCCAAGAAGCATTTGCCAACAACTTGGTCAGAATTCCTTGGTTCCTCCTTTCCATAGACGAGAATGCATGGGAAGTTGGGTCCTTGCCCATCACGACACAGTGAGTCACAGGGTGCCCTTGAATTATCCATATGGCTGCCAAGGACTTTCCAGCTTTGATTATTCCTTTTGGATCTGAAGTGGCAGGTGGGGACTACCCTGCATTTTTTCCTGGGCTTTCACCCCAGGCTCATGAAACTGTCACAGACCTCAGCGTTCACTTCTCCTAAGATGAAAGTAGAGACTTTTGAACTATAAAAGACAGCACTATATGACTTTCAGCTCTAGCAATGAATTTGGAGTATGCCATAGCTGGAAAGCACAGAGTGTAGTTGCATTTTTGGCACCTGTCACTTTTTAACTTTGCCACATGAAGACTTAAGATAAGCTACGGATGTGAGGGAACCATTCCGATATTCAAAATCCCCCAAGATTTCTCATACACACAACAGTTATCACTGTTCTGTCATTACTATTGCTACTACTGCTGTGATAAAATTGATAGTAACAGGCACCATCTGCTGAATGCACACTATGTACCAGGCATAGGGTAGACAAATTATATACAATAACTCCAATCCTCATGACAACTCCATCAGGTTGGTATCATTATTCCCAATTTATAGTTGAAGAAGCTGAGACTGAGAGAATTCTTTAACTTGCTCAAGGCCTCATGGTTAAGAAATGGAGAGCCTGGGTTTGCATCCACCTCTCTGGTCTCTGCTCTTTGGATGGCATTCATTTAACAGCAGTAATGGTTCTGTTAAGATGGCGCTTTTTAAAAAAAAAAATTTTTTTATTTATCTTTAGAGGGGAAGGGAAGGAGAGAGGGAGAGAAATATCAATGTATGGTTGCCTTTCGTGCATCCCCTGCTGGGAACTGGCCTGCAGGGAACCGGCCTGTTCCAGGCATGTGCTCTGACTGGGAATCGAACCGCCATTGTCTGGTTCACAGGCCCGCGCTCAATCCACTGAGCTACACCAGCCAGGGCAAGATGGTGCTTTTAATGATAATTCCTCCTGTACCTACTTGGATAAACTTGTATGTCAATACATGGTTATGTTCCATTTATAATAGGAAACAATAATATTATAAATTTATAGCCTGGGAGACTGGCTCTTCATGTTTGGTTGCTCCCCTTGACCAAAGACCCTTGGTTATCTTTACTGGAGACCTGGCCCACAACCCAGGCATGTGCCCTGACTGGGAATCGAACCAGCAGCCCTTTGGTTCACAGGCCAGTGCTCAGTCCACTGAGCTATACCAGCCAGGGTCCCTTGGTTATCTTTAATTACCACATTGGCTTTTTCAGAATATGCAAAGCCCACCCCCTCAAATTATTCTTGTTCCCCATCACCACAATATAACCCGGGTGGCAGGATTGGAGGAAGTGAGCAAGGGGAAGGGTCTGGGGGATCAACTGTAGTGGGGTCACCTTGGTCTCGCTGGGAAAAGTTAGAGAATCCAATAATGGTCCGCCTCCGCCTCAGGGTGGACTTGGGGTTCACGGCTGTCTCTGTATTAAACAATGAGTGTCGCAAACTTGCGTGTTTATCAAACTGCTGCCCTGTAGCCAAAATAAAGACACTTGGGTGCATCTTGTTTTTTTGTTTACAGTATAGTGGAAATGGGCCTGAGGCAGAGAGAAGGGATGATGGCAGTAGCAATGAGCATGAACAGCATCCAGGCAGGTGGCCATTCTTCCACATCCCTCCCAACATGACCCCAGATACCCAGAGCCCCAAGACATACATGCTGGCTTTCATAGGCTACATCTAGGGTCACCTGTAAGTATTAGGTGGTTGAGAGCCATGGTTTTCAATCCTGGCTACATGTAGAAATAAACCAGGCAGCTTCTGAAACTCCAATACCTGGATCCCAGCCCAGAACATTTAACTCTTTGGGAGAAGGCCCAGGTAGAAGCTATTTCTCAAACTCCCCAGGTGGTTGATTATTAAGATGTACAGCTTGAGGCGGGAACCATTACTATAGACAGACAGGTTGAGACTAGAGGTCGCTTGATTATAATCTTTTCTTAAAGAAAGCCTTTATGTGGGCCAGAGGACAGTGTCTCCAAGAAGCTGCTTTACCTCCTCCCACCATCCAGGAAGCTGCCTGACCTTTGATTACATTTTGGTGGTGACTGAGATCTATTTCTCCTAAAGCACTGGGTCAGTCTTTGTTCCTGTGGCACTGCTGGGCCAGGGACAGGGTGAGATAGGGCGTAAGGTCCACTACTCCCCTCACCATCTCTCATTCAACAGTTGTTTAACCAAACCTTCCCCTCTCAGCCTCATAGCAAGGGACTCTGTGGACAAAGTTTAGGGCCAGCCTTACTGCAAGTAAGATAGAAATTGAGAAACAAAGTGTCCACAATCACTTTGTGAGTCTCTCCTCTCAGCTCTCACTTCTTTTTATACATCTTCCTAGGCTGTGGGCTCTATTTCTTGCCTCTGATTTCCTGAGATGACGCCACTGGCACTGGATGACCCTATATCCAGGGAATGATACCACATGTGGCCAGAGCTGTCCTCTTTCTCTTCATCGACTTTTCCCAGCATATCACAGGCCAATGTGGCACGCAGGGTGCCTCTGGTCCCTTTGAATCACGAAGTCCTTATTTCACCAGATCGCTGGCCCTAACTCCTTCTGAAATAACCAGCCTTCCTCCTCTTTCACTTACAGCCAGTGGAATATAGAGCATAAATTAATAATGTGTGTGGTATAAAGTGTCCCATATCCCCAAAGTCATGTCCAGCTGAGCTCACACATCATGTTTCCCATTCTCAAGGTAGTACTGGACCCCTCTTTAGTGCTTTTGGCCTTGGCCTCTTTCTGTTACTTCCCTTATTAAATACTTGCCACACCAGTTGAGGAGGTCCACCTCACTAGAAGATCAAGTGTCAACTTAAAGTGCCATAGGCCTGTGGCCCATGCCCTGAGTATGAGCGTCCCTTTCCCCTCAGAGTCCTATCCAGACATGGCTTCTGGCACAAGAAGTTTTCTTTCCCCAACCCAAATGTAACTCAAACACTTCAAATTTCCATAGATGCTGTAAAGAGCATACAAGTTCATAAAGTTTCAGAGTTTTCTGTTAAGATCAACTTGCAGTTAATGTGGTAGTGCCATTACAGGGTGAAGAAAGAGCAGCCAGAGCACCCTCTTCTGCATGCCTCTGTTCCCTGGCAAGAGCTGTGACCTTGACAGTGCAGGGCGAGCTGATAGCAAAGAAAGTCTTGCACCCTCCCCCAGCACCCAGTGCATTTGGAGAGGATGGTCTGTAGTTGGCGTGGGAGGAAGCAAACAGAAGTGGTGCTAAGCAACTCTACCAGAGATGTTGATGGGCACAATGTCAGAGTGCGTGGAGCAAGGCTGAAGCCACCGCTTCTCCTCTAGGATGGGCAAAGGGAAGGGGCTATTCCAGGCAACTTGCTTGTCGGCTGTGGTAGACAGGCTCAGGGAGGCCTCAGGGGCCCTCACACCCTGGGTGGTAGTCTCATCCTCGTTCAGCTGCTGTTTTGTAGGCTGTTGGGAAAGAAGGTGATGGAAAGGGTGTGCTCCTGACTGGAGATGAGCCATGCCTGTGGGATGGCTTGTCTAAGCAGGGTGGTTGGAGGCTTTGTCTGGGAGGCAGGAAAACATGGACAGGCTGCCAGGCCAGACACCTGCTGTGCAAGGCCCATTTCAGACAGGCCTCAGGGCAGCTCTCCTGGTGAGCAGAGGGGAGCAGCAGCTTCTAGTGGATAATCTAAGCAGCTCAAGTCCCCCTATTGATGGGTGCCGGGTGAGCTCTGCGTGCTGGCTGTCCCAGGCAGGGGACTAGGCAACTCACCATCAATACAAACTCCAGACGCCTGGCAGACTGGGGCCTTGGGCTAGGGGTGGGCTCAGGGGCCTCATCAGCAGAGCGGAAGGTCTGCCCCAGCAGTCTGGCCTCCGAGTACTGTTCCTCATAGTCTTCTGAAAAACAGCACAGTGGATACACACTCTAGGGGGCCATGGCCGAGTGCTGGGCAAGGGAGGGACTGTGAGCCAGGGCTCCTGCTCTAGCTGCCAGGCCTGACTTGCATGGTTTCTTTAAGATATTTCCTGGCATCTGAGCCTCTGGATTTGAAAATGGGAAAATGCCTACTCCCCAGGGCTATGAGAGCCAAAAAGAAAAGGGAATCAATGAATTTGAGTTGTGCTGGTCCTGAGACTAAGCCTTTGCTTCAGTGGTCCCCACTGTGGTCAACTTGGAGAAGAGGCTCAGGACACAGACATCTTTTGCTACTTTATGCTGTAAGGTCCTCTCTTTGAAGCCCTGTAGCTTTTCAGGTTTTCTGCAGCCCTATGTGGGACATGACCTGTGTGCAGCACAGAGAGACTTGTATTGGGAAGTCCAATGTGCAGTGCTCCCTTGGATGTCAAGAACTCTTGCTCGAGATTCCAAGGGCCTGGCTTCCTGTACCTTACTCCCACTATAGGTAGTGACAGGTCCAGGGAGCTTAGGTGAAGGAGAAGGAAGTCAGAGAAAGTGGCAGGGGAGGAAAGAGAAATTCAGGGGCGTTGTCAAGGAGTAAGAAGGATGCATGAGATTTGAACTGGTTTCATTTAAGTGATGAATTCAAAAGAAGTGAGGGAATTCAATGAAATGAAGGAAGTGAGAGTCAAGAATCAACACGCAGGGAGTCAAGAGTTTGCCTCAAAGGTTGTCTGATCCAACACCTCATTCTGGACACAGACTTTCTTCTCAGCAGCCTTTCAATGTACCTCTTCAGACTCCAAACACAGTGGCAGAGAAGGGGAGGCAGCCTTCCTCCCAAGGCCACTTGGCCCAAGGCCACTCCCAGTGGCCCAAGGCCACTTATTCTATCCAAGGACAGTTGGGACTGTCAGGTGTCAGGAAAGTTCTTCCTTATCTTGAGGTGAAATCTGGCTCCCTCTAAATTTCCACCCACTAGTCCTAATCCTGCCTGTGATGACAACACAGAACACACTGATTCTCTTACTGCACAGTAGCTCCTCTCTTATCTGAACACAAAGCTCATGGTGTCTCTTGGAATCTTGCTGCTCTAAGGTCACCACTGCCTTGGCAAGGAGGTGAGGGTTATGGCTGTAGTCCAATTGAGTGGCTATCTGCCATTTTCTATTCTCCACCAGTGTTAATCCTCATTGGCATGAGTAAATGAGAGCTGATGTCTTTTCACATTTAATTTAGTGTCCACTTATGTCTACTGAGCACCTCTTGGGGATCCAGCCCTGTGCCAGGTGCTTCTGGAAACCTAAGAGATATGGTTCTTTACATTGACAAGCTCAGGCTGGTTAGGTAGACAAAGTATATATCCAAGGCTAATAGACAAATGGGCAAATGAATGAACAGATGAAAGAAAGAGTAGTTCAGAACTATACAAGTCCTCTTGAACTGGATGGTACAAAGTGCCTCATATGAGTGCTTATGGAGGGAGGGAATGGTGCAAAGTACAGAACTCATGTTAAAAGTTTTCTTGGATGAGGCAAGAATTGAACTTAAAAGAAAGTATAGGGATCAGAATGGGATAGAGGAAGGGCTTCTAGGCTTGGAAAAGAGGTCTGAATGAGATGAGAGAGCCTGAAGAGGGTATAGAGCTTGTGACTTAGCATTGAGGTTTTATGTATAATATTTTATTGAGATATAACTTACCTATGGTAAAGTGCATGAATCTTAAGTGTATAGTTCAGTGAATTTTGACATATACATTCCCCTTTGTAACCTCCACCCAGGTATTTACAGTACTCCAGTAGTTCATCTCCATAGGTCTGAGCTTTAATACCATGTATGGTGGATAAATCCCTCTGGTCAATGTGTATGGTTTTCCTATTGGAAGGTTTGATCAGGAATCATCTTGCTGTTTTTCTTTTCTTTTGTGTTAACTTTAGTATTGTGTTTAGCTCAGCCCATGTTCCAAAAGACATGTACTGGGAGTTGATGTTACATCTCATCAGGGTGTCTCTAGCAACAAGATACTCCTGCTAAGCAATTTATTTTGACTCTATTTTTAATTCTGACAAAAGTGTGCCACATGGGGAATTCTCATTTTAAAGATGACTGATTAACTAGAAGCTCAGAGAGGGTGTGTATCTGCATAATGTCACACAGCTAGGTAGGTGTATGATTCGAATTAGATTCTAGCTCTGTCTGCTTTCCAAGTCTGGTTTTCCTCCTCTGTCTGTGGGTGCAGTGTGATTGCTCAGGCACTCCGACTGGGCTGTTTCTCTGGGTGGGGAGGACCCAGCTTTGCCGCACTATGACCTCGACAACACTGGGTTGGGAATTGGGGATGAACTGAGTGCAGTAGCTACCCAGGAGACACGTGGACAAGGTTAATGCAAGAGTAGAGTGAGTGAAGCCCAGAGGAGATCTGCAGGTGCCTTTTTTGGCTGAGTGACAGCATTCCAAAGGCATGCATGGGTGATGTGGCAAGAGAAGTTTTGGAAGGCTTGTGGGTCACACTGTAGGAGTCTCTCTCATCCAGCTGTCTTTGGAAATGGTTTGACCCATTGCCCTGTTTCAGTTTCTGTCCTTTCCCCCCATGGAGTATGGAACTAAAAAAAAAAAAAAAAAAAAAAAAAAAAAAAAAAAGAGGGAGTGGTAAACACCGTAGAAATAGGACCTTTTAGAATTGTGAGTCGAGAAGGCAAAAGATAGAAAATGTGTGTGTGCTTTGTTTTTCACCGGGTTTTACAGTGTTCTCTCTTTTTCTCTCGCTGGTCCCTGTCCTCTCTTCTGTGCCTCCCTCCAGCCACTGCACATCTGGCCTGTGGGGTCAAGCCGCAGCCCCACTCCCTCTCGGTACCTTGCAACAGGCTCTGGAGATTAAGCTGCGCCTCGCGAAGCAGCTCCTCTACACTCGGGGGCCTGCCCGAGGAGAGGAACACGTTCACTGGCTGTCGCCATGACGACCTCGAGTGGGCAGTCGCTGTCGCATTTTCCCGACCCGAGTTAGCTGCAGCTAGGGAAGGAGAGAGTCAGTGAGAGGCTCAGTTGAGGGGTGGGCACGGCGGCCACTGGGCGCCCGCGGTTCCCGAAGTCCCGCCCCTGCTGGGGTGGGGAGGCGGGGCGAGGCTGTGCTTAAAAGACTGGGATCCCGCAGCCGCAACATTTTTCCTCGAGAGATCCTGCAGCAGTCCGCTCTATCCTGCTCTGCCTGGGGGCTGCTGTCTTGCCACCCACGACTTCCGCTCAGCGCCTCTCAGCTCCCGCTGCCGCCCGCCCTCCGCCCGCCCTCTCCGATCCCTGGGAAGAGGTAACGCGCCCCGGGCCCAGCCTCCGGGCCTTGTGCCTGGAGCTCCCTCCCTCCTCGCCTCGGTGGGTGTGGCTCGGCCTACCCTGCGCTCCCCGAGACACTTCGCTCCCCTCTGGGGCCCCACTGCATTTCGGCCTCCTTTCACGGCCCCTAGCTCGGCACCCCCACCACAAGCCCCCACCCTGCCCAGGACCCAGGGCCCCGATCGAGTCCAGATGTCCGAGGCATCAGGAAATCTCAATAGCCTACGCATGGCGAACGTGGCCCTGCGCGAGGAATTAAATGCCCTTCGCGGGGAGAATGCCAATTTGGGCCTTCAGCTAGGAAGAGCCCTGGCGGAGGTGAATTCCTTGCGGGGCAATGTCTCCAGCTACATCCGCTGGCCAGTGCCCGTCCTTGCAGAGGAGAACTTTGAGTTCCCGCTCAACGAGATAGACTCCTTGCCCGAGGGTGAAATGCCCTTCACGCGCTGGCCTCCCCCACGCACCGAGCCCGAGTGCGCCCCGGAGGAGCTGTTGGTCAGTGGGACCCAGGACTCTGGCACCTCTGAGGGCCAGGTCGACCCTCCCCCGCAGCCCAGCCCGCCCCCGCCTGCACTGCCCCCTCCGGCCTCCAAGGAGCAGCCTGCGCAGCCTCCTGTGCCACCTCTGGAGCGGCCGGAGCTAGAGCCCTTTTCAGGCGACCCGGTCTACCTGCCTGAATTCCTGATGCGGTTAGAGACCTTCATAGCCGACCATGAGGATCATTTCCCCGGGGGTGCCGAGAGGGTGGCTTTTTTGATCTCCTTTTTCACTGGTGATGCCAAGGACTGGGCCGTCTCAGTCACCCAGGAAGGAAGCCCCCTGCATGCCAACTTCCCGCGCTTCCTGGATGAAATCCGTAAGAAATTCTGTGGCCCCATCCCCCCAAGTGTGGCGAAAAAGGCCATTCGCAAGCTCAAGCAGGGAGACTGTACCCTCGGCAGCTATGCAGATGCTTTTCAGTTCCTGGCCCAATTCTTGTCTTGGGATGACTGTCGCCTTCAAAACCAGTTCCTCAAAGGCCTGTCAGAATTCTTCCGCAAGGAGCTCTTGTGGTCAACTGAAATGGCCGACCTGGATGAGCTGATTCTCGAATGTGTGGAGATAGAAAGGAAAGTGCGTGTCCCCAAGCCAATCCCGCTCCCCGGGGTTCGCAATATCTTCTTCCCTTTTGCTGCAGACCCTAATGTCGAGGGCAGTGGAGAAGAAGAGCGCTACAGTGAGGATGAAGATGCTGAGGTGCGCAGGCGCAGGCTTCATGACCAGGACCAGCGGAGGCGTGCGAGAGCTATTCAGCAAGAGATGAGGGAGCAGGAGGAGGAGAAGAGGAAGAAGGAGGAAGAGATGAAGAAGAAGGAGGAGGAGATGAAACAGAAACGGGAGGAGGAGGACGACGACGACGAGGACGAGATTGTGGTGGTGGATGTTGTGGACGAGGAAGAGGAGGAGATGAGGAAGAAGAATGAGGATGAGAAAAAGGATGAGGATAAGGGCCAGGAACCAGGGCAGGAGCCAGAGCAGGAGCCAGAACAGGAGGAAGAGACCGAGGATGAAGCCCAGGATGATGACCTAGATGAGCTGATGGAGGTAGAGCCGACCTATGCCAACGCTTCATCCCAGACTACTGGCTACTATCACGAAAATTTTCTAGATACATCACCTCCAATAATACAGCCCAGCAGACGGAGGAACCAGAATCGAGTCCCACTGCTGGAGGGCCTTCCAGGTACCAACTCGCCTTTCTACAGTTCACCACCGCTGATTCGCCGAGCAGGTCGCTTGGGGCAACGCCATACTAGAAGACGGCCCCCAGTGCTATTCCGCCTCACTCCAAGACAGGCAGGACACCGGGCTTCACGTGGCCGAATTCGCGTGTGAGTGCTGGGGTGAGATGGCCACTTGGAACACACCCTTCTACTGCGTTCCCTGCCCCTGCTATTGCTGCCACATCTGCCCCATTTGCTGACCAGTACCTAAGGGAGTTCCAAACCTGAAAAACCTAAAGACGACCTGTAGAACTCCAGGCCATCTTGCAGCCCTGACCAGGGAGTGACATGTGCTCAACCAAAGCCACCTGGGAAAGGAGGGGTCAGCGATAGCTGTCCTCTTGGCTGGGCACTCTGCTCAGTCCTGCCACAAGCTAGCAACCAGGTTTCTGGGCCTACCCCTATAAATGAACTGGTCACCCCCTTGTATTTCCCTTCTAGTTGTTCCTAACCCTGTGTCCTATGCTTTTATCTACTCTGACTGGCTCACCAGGACTTCACCTAATGGCTCACTGCTCTGTCCCAATGAGCAAAAGGACAGGCTACACTGAACTCCTAATGCCACTAATTATTAGACATAATGGATGGAGAGCAAGATGCTATCAAGAAATGTGCCTAGAAGCCTGCACTTGCTTCAGCCTCCAGCAGAAGGGCCCTAAAGATGACCCTACATCTAGCCCAGTGAGGGTGGGCAAAGCCGCTTGTCAAAGGGACAACTTGACTGAGGTTTGTCCTTCACTGACTGAGCAAGCTAGTTCCACCCTCACACAGACTACTACATCGGGTCCCTTGAACCAGCTTGCCAAATCTGGGGCCCTTTCCTCTTATCACACTGCCCTCCTGGGCATCCCCGCTGGACAGAGCCCAGTGTTACCACTTCCCCTGATGTTTCCTGGAAGATGGGGGAGGAGGAAGAGGACCAAAAAGAAGCAGCAACAACTCAGTTTGACATTGTGAGGAGTGACCGTTTCCTTAGGGATGGTGGTCTCCTCCCTGGGCTGGGTCTTGGACAGCAGCACCCAGCCAAAGGTCTTTGCAGGAGACCTGCCATGCTTGGGGGTTCACAGAGGCCTAATTGGCCTTTCCTTCCTGGACCAACGAGGAGAGAAAGGGCCCTAGCCCTGCTCTTTAACTTCAATTTAAAGAGTTCCCTAGTTGTCAGAAGGGAGAGGAAGTTTCCCTCTACAGAGATTGCAGCCTCGCAGCCGAGACATCTTCACATCTCTCCCATGGGTGGGAAGCCATGGCCTGATGCTGGGCTTCAATGAGATGGTAAGGCTTGACAGGGTGACAGCCTCCTAGTAACTAACTCCTGGGACTTCTGGGAACAAACCTCAGGACCCTTATAGCGAGTCCTGCTGCTTGCCATGGGTCCAGAAACCACTGCTTGTGCAGTGAAAAGGACATACTATGTCATTGACCACAGAATGCCAGCCAAACCCATTGCTGGCCTGAACTGCCCTTGACACTGAGCTGCCTGCACAGTGCCTGGCAGCTGGGCAAGTATAGCCAAGGTGTCTGTGGCCAGAGGGAAGGAGGCATAGTAAATTAAGCCTGTGTTCTTCACGGGAGTCCAATAGATAACCTCAGCCCAGCCTTAGGGTTTTGAGCCTCCTGGAAGCAAGAGGAAGGAGCTGGAGGAAGAGGAGTCACAAACAAACCCAGTTCATCTGCTGGCTGGTTGCTGGTGAGATCTATTCATCAGTGGGAGGTAAGAAGCCCTTTTGTTTATCATATATTTCTCAGCTGGGGATCAGCAGAGCTGGGTTCCTATAACCTGTTGCTACCTTTTCAAAAGGCCTCCCCCTCCTCCAAAGAGAAAAGTAATGCCTAATCATTACAATTTGGACAACAGAGAAAACTATAAGCACAAATAACCACCCAAACATTCAGAAACCCAGCACACAGAGGCAAATATTACTAGCACTTAGCTGCCTTTCTTTCTAGTGCATTCTCAGTGCATCTCTTCAAAGCTGAGATCATCTTGCAAGCTCTTGATCAGCAGGATTAAAAATGGCTGCCACCTATGCAGTCAGGCATACTGAATAATTGAAGTATTCTCTTAATTCTTTAAGCATTTTAGTTTCCTGGTTTCCCCGCCCCCATCCCCACCAGTGCAGGAGTGAACAACACTGTAAAGAAAATTTTGTCTGTTTTTCAGCTATTTTTCCAGGAGAGTGTGCCAGAAGGGGAAGTGCTGTTCTTCGAGGCTGTGAACTCTGTTTGCTGATGGTCAACATACTGGCCCTGCTGTCTATGTCCCTGCTGGAGAAGTGCAAAGGACAGGTGCCTTGCACCCCCACTTCCAGGGACCCCCTCAGCACAGGCCCTGCCTGTTTCCATGGTGCTTCCACCCTGAGACCTTGTAGCCTCAGCCAGGGAAAGAGTGGGTGAGCAGTGAGCTGGTTCCTGGCCCTCTGGTGGCAGGGGGGCCTGGGCTTCCCTTTGACCCCTTTTCCCTGCTTTCCCAGATCTTCAATATTTGTTGTGATGTAACAGCTGCAAGAGCTGTAAGAGGAACTATGGGCTTTGGGAACTTTCTTGGGCTGAAAGAGGGATGGGGGTGGGAGGATGCATGCAGGGGTATGAAGGCAGCCCAAGGATTCCCAAAGACTCGGGAGGAAACCCGTTGGGAATAAATGTGTTATTGTTATTGCGTTATTGTTACATTATTGTGATGTGAAGATAAATTCTGTATGCTAAAGCTTTCTCCTCAATAAAGATATAAAGGGTGTGTAAAGAATGTATCTGTCTGGGTTACTGAGCAAGCATAGATGGATATAAACAGTAGGCATCAGGTACTTCCCAGGCACTTTACCTGAAGCAATGCTAGCCTGAAGGCTTGCAATCCTCAGATGAGGAAACTAAGGCTCACTGAGGCCCAAAGGACCTAACTAGAGTCCTATTCATTTGTGTTGGAAGGAAGTGGAGGAACTAGGCATCTTAAAAATAGTATTAGTTATCTACTTCCTGGAATATAAAGGTATAAATGTCCCAGCCATCTTATAACAGTGACATGCCCCTCCCAGCCCCCCAAACACACACAGACTTTGAAGGGAGGGAGGGGAAGGAAGCCAGGCTGGGTGAGGCAGGAGGGCCTTTCCACTTTTTGACAGTAGGTGGTGCTATGTGACACCAGTAAGCTAGCTGGTGGAGTTTTTTTTTTTACCAGCCTCACAGCAGTCCATGCAGTGACCCTCCCAGCAAGATTTCACTGCCCTCATAGCACGTGGGTCAAAAGAAATTGAATCCCATTCTGGGGTTTGCTGAAGTTTCCCAGCCATGAATTGGACATTTTTTTTTTTGGTACAGTGGGTGTGAACGTTTATCAAGCCCCCTACTGGTACAAGTGCTGAGCCATGCAGTGGACATCCATTATCTCAGTTCATTTACCTTTTCTTACCTATGAGGTAGGAAACAGGCTTACAGAGAAGTCACCGGCCCAAGGTTCACAACTGGTAAGTGGCTCTTTTTCAGCCCCGCAGTTGCCTAGGAGTTGGCTCCTCTCTGCCTCCACTCATAGGCCCTACTGTCTTTCAGGTCTACCCTGTCATGCCCACCCTCCTCTAAGCTTATAGGACTGTGGTGACAGGCAAAGCCAGGTTTCAGAGCCACATTGGCTTTGCCCCTTTAAGGGGAAGGAAGGAAATAAGGAAGGGAGGGAGGGAGGGAGGGAAGCAACCAATGCATTTCTGACCATGTGCCAGGCACTTTCACCAGCATCACTTAATTCTCACAGCAACTCGGGCAGGTAATGTCTCCTTTTAGAGCTAAGGGGTCTGAATCTCAGAGCTATTAGGCTCCATAGGGGACTCAGGTCTGTGTGACTCCCAAACTCAAAGTCCCTCAACTGTAATCTACCATGATGTTACCCAGCAAAGCCCGCGATGAGCTCAAGCCTCAACCTGACTGGAGTCTGGGTCTTTGCCCAAGCGAACAGGTGTGCATCAGATGCCCTATCCCTGGAGGCTCCAGAGAAGGCAGGCAGTGCAGAGTTTGTGGCGATGAGTTTGCAGGACAGTATGGCAGACTTTCCCTTCTTAGAAGGGATAGGACTGTGGGGGCCATGAACTGCATCCATGAGCACTGGGTCTCCCCATTCTGTTTCAGGGGGTCAGATAAGGTCTCCAGAATCCCTGGAGTTTCTCCTGCCCATTGCGGGTAGGGGTAGGTGAATCCAGATTTTGTCATGGCCCATCAGAGCAGGTGAGGGAAAGTAAGACCAATAGGGTGAGCCTTGTCCAACCCTGCGGCCAGAAGCCCCATGAGTATAGGGAACAGGGTCCTGGATTCCAGTCCAGCCGTGCCACTGACTCCATTTGGGACTTGCATGAGTCCACATTCCTACTCAGGCTACTGTCACCATAGGGTTCCTTGGGTGTATGGTGGGTACACAGTAGAATCTCAAGCCTAGTTTGGTATAAACGAAGAAGTTAATGAATAAGCGGGCTGCTGGATGGAACCTAGATACTGCATGCTAGGGGCATGTGCAGGTGGCATGAAGCCTGGAGGACTAGAAGTTCTTCTCCAAAATGGAATCGGAAGTCCCCAAATCTCCTTCACCTGGAAGGATGTGCAGAAACGACCTTTATTAGGTGCACATGTGAGATTTTGCAGTCAGGTTCAGAAAACCAACTGGCAGGAGCCTAAGTGAGGATGATGTGGTTTAGAAGAAACTTATGAAAAAAATTCTGAGAACTTGAGTTGATGGGGCTCAGGATGAGTCAGCAGACTGGATGCCAGAAATGCTAATGCCTTCCTGGGCTGCTGCTGCAAGAGTGGGGAGTCCAAGTGATGGTCAGGCCCCTCCTGGGGTCCTGGCCAATCAGTGGAAGGTATCAGACTGTACCTCACAGAAGCTCTTTTGCATGCCAGGAGTAAGAAAATATTAAAATAAAAGAAAGGGAGAGGGAAGAACGAGTGGGGGCAGTGGAAGAGTGACAAGGATGGTGAGGGTCATAAAAATCCTGTTCCCAAGGGACAGAGGAAGGCAGAGAAAATCTTGCTGAACCCACCGTTCCCCTCATTCATTCTGTGTTTTTCGAGGAAACTGGAAGCTCAAGGTCACTTGCTTCATTTACAGAATTTTACTGTGAACTCCAGCAGTTTGACATTCATAACTCTTAAACCAGCACCCTCCACTCAGACCCACACTAACAAAGTGAGAATCTCCAGAAATTTCTAGTTCTGAAAAGCACCCTAGGCAAGTCTAATGCCCTGCCCAGCCAAGTGCAGAAAAGAGTCTTAGGGACTAATTGACCCAGTAATGGCCAGTTTGGTTCTGAGTCTTTCCACAGAGCTCACCAGAGCAGGTAACCGGCCTGGAGATCCTGCACTAAGCACATAGTAAGTGATCAAAAAATATTTGCGCAGCCCTGGGTGGTGTGGCTAAGTGGATTGAGTGCCAGCCTGCAAACAAAAGGATCGCTGGTTCAATTCCCAGTCAGGGCATATGCCTGGATTGCAGGCCAAGTTCCCAGTGGGGGACATGCAAGAGGCAACCACACATAAATGTTTCTCTCCTCTTTCTCCCCCCATCCCCCTCTCTAAAAATAAATAAATAAAATCTTTAAAAAAAAAGAAAGATAGCTTTATACTGTGTATCTTTTTTTTAAAGATTTTATTTATTTATCTTTAAGGGGAAGGGAAGGAGAGGGAGAGAAATATCAATGTATGGTTGCCTCTCATGCGTCCCCCACTGGGAACTGGCCTGCAACCCAGGCATGTGCCCTGACTGGGAATCGAACTGTGATCTTTTGGTCCGCAGGCCCACGCTCAGTCCACTGAGCTACACCAGCCAGGGCATAAATAATAAATTTAAAAAAATATTCATGCAACGATCCCACCATGTCTCATGGTCTGGTGTGAGCTTGCCCCTGCTGGACTCCTGCTCAGACTGCGCCCCCTGAGAGTGAGATGACATAAGATGGGTGCAGAAGTCTGACCCTCAGAAACCAAATTCATAGGACCTGACCATCAGAACTGATTCATGTAGGGCCCTTGCCCCACCCAGCAAAAAGGACAGGCATTACCAAGGCAAGAGATTACCCCCAAATTGCAGGGGTCTTCACCTCCCACTAGCACTTCCTGTATCCTGCCCAGACTAGGGAAAACTCTGCAGGCCACTTCTCCCCAGGAATTCAACAGACACAGAAACACAAAGCCCAGAGTTCTTAGTTGGCCTGGTAACAGTGGGACCTACTTGGAAAAAAACAGTTTCTGAAAGCCTTAAGGGTGTGGATATTTCCTTTGACAGAAAGCAGGCTCTGACCTGCTCTCCTCAAGTCCCCTCTTCCATTCCTGCCTGCCACAAAAAGGGGTAGATCTGGGGCTCCTCATCTCTGTGACTCTCCTGGGAGTGGGTGAGGGTGACAGAAAAGAGGGCCCTGGCTTTTGATTCTGCTCTTGCTGTGGGCTGTTAATATAAGGAAGAGGCTAAAATGGAAGGTGTTAGCCTATGGATTCCTGGCGATTGTCCTCTGAGCTGAGGAAGCCGTACCTCACAGGACCCATACACAACCAAACCCGATGAGGGCAAGTGCTCCTAGCAACTACAGTTCTACCAGTTCCTCACCACATAGGAGACATAAACCAGAGAGTTTCCAAAGGTTCCAAACTTCTCCCTGCAAGGCCAGCCCCTTCTCACATCTCACTTGAACTACTGAAGTAGCCTACCTGCTGGTCTAAGCAGCCTCTAGTGTCTACCCCTTCTAATCAATGCACCTTCTACATGCTTGGAGGGGCATGGTCCTTTGAGCACACACATCTGGCTAGTCCTGTTGCTCTTATGCAAAGACCCTTCTGGGGCTCTCCATCCTCTGCAGGAAGTCTTGTGGACCTGATGCTGGCTGTCTTCACTATCTGCTCATATACTCTGTGTGCCCTCTCCTCTCCCCTTGCCATCCTTCTTCCCTCTTCCATTCAGTTCAAACCTCAAACATTCTGAATTACTTCCTCCTTTCTTTACGTACCAGGGGCTTTACATACCCTATTCCCTCTGCCTTAAAAATTCACAAGCACTCCTGGCCCCAGTCCAACTGGCAATCTCCTCAACTCATAGACCACTTCCTCCAGGACACAGCCTTTACTCACCAGACAAGCTCCTGCCATCTGTATCCCCACTCACTCCCCCAACCCCATTGCTCTGTGAGGCTCCAGTTGCACCTGGGACCAGGGGCTGGTTCATGACTATAAATGAGTTTGTTGCTGCAAAGCTGCTGTTCAGTGTGAGAACATGACCTCATCCCATTTGTGGGGTGGGTGGGGGTGGGCTCTGTATTAGCAGTGGCCTTTTGGAGAAGCACTGGCCTCCTAAGATCTGGCTGAGGGCTAATGGTACACAAATAGATCTGGGAGCACTGCCCCCCAGCCCCATTAAGTTGGAGATGTGGACAGTAGGAACGAGTCAAGAAAAGAAAGCAGGAACTTACAGAGCTGGTTGTTCATTCCCAGCTGAGCACCCTATTGATGGCTTCTGCCTCTTTGCGGGGGCCATAACTCATTCTCAGTGTGTGGAGAGTGACCCCTCACTGGGCTTCAGAGTTACACAGACCTGGCTTTGAACTCTGGCTCTGCCACTACCTTGTTGTGTACCCTTGGGTTGGTCATTTCCCCTCTCTAAGTTCCAGTTTTCTTTTTCTAAAAGTGGAGATAATAATAGGATATATTACTGAGATAATTGATATGAACCAAAGAGAACAACAGAAATAGCTAATACATATTAGCTCTTACTATTTC